GCGCTTTAGCTCTGTGGCTGGGCTCCAGCTATGAGACCTCCGCTGCTGAAAGCAGGTTTCTGGCCTTTGTTTACCTTGTATTTAAAACAATGTTGCGGTCCTGCTGGCTGAAGCCCGGGGTTTTGTTTAGCTTCTATATTGTTACAATGGGCCGGCAAGGCAGGCGGGGTTGGCTTCCTCCGTCACTGAAGCAAGCAAGCAAGCCTCCCTGTTCACGTCAGCTGCCTGGCTGCCGGCCGCCATCTTGGCTGGCAGTGAATTTGCATATCGCCCTGATTAGCCAATGGGAAGGGTAGCGGTTGTACGCTAATTACCATGTTTCTCTTTTATTAGATAGGATATTTCCTATGCTGTACTTGGGACTCTTTTATGACTACCAATTCCTACTTCTTAATCCTTTCATCTTTTTCACCCAGTCTCCCAACCCCTCTGGAAACCATCAGTTTGTTTTCTGTATAAGTGAAATCATACGATATTTGTCTTTCTATAACTGACTTATCTCAGAATAAAACCCTCTAGGTCCATCCATGCTGTTGCAAATGGTAAGATTTCATTCTTTTTATTGGCCAAGTAATATTATATATATATAAAATCAGACAGCTTTTTTATCCAGCCCGTCTATTGATGGGCGCTTGCATTGCTTCTATACCTTGGCTATTGTAAATAACGCTACAATGAACATAGTGATGCATATATTCTTTCAAATTAGTGTTTTGGGTTTTTTAGAATAAATACCCAAAAGTGGAATTACTGAGTCACAAAGCAGTTCCATTTTTAATTTTCTGAGGAATTTCCATACTGTTTTTCATAGTGGCTGCCCCAATCTGCGTTCCCACCAACAGTGCATGAGGGTTCCCTTTTCTCCACATTCTCACCAACACTTGTTGTTTGATGATTTATTGATGACAGCCATTCTATCAGGTGTGAGGTGATATATCATTCTTGTTTTAATTTGCATTTCTCTGATGATTAGTGACATTGAGCATCTTTTCATATGTCTGTTGGTCTTAGCCTCTATTTTAAAATTTGTAAAATGAAAGGCTCAAGCCAGTTCTCTAAAGACCAAAGAACCTGTGTTGGGTAGATATAGATTATGGTCATAAAACTAATTGGCGCACATGGAGCTTAATCCACATTTGTGCTGTGAAGCAATAATGAATCCTACCAAGCTTCCCCATGGCTGGTTAACATTATCTTGTTTCACTGAGAATGCTACTATGAAATTCAGATGTCCTTGGACAGGATGGTCAATTTCATCAGAACTTGTTCTAAAATCTCTTTTTCTGTTCATCCTTCTTCTTTTTCATGTCCTGAAACAGTACAGTATACTTTTGACCTATGACACCCACACAAATGTCACTAACCCAGTGAATAACAGCCCCTCATTCATCTGGAAGAACCGGAAGCTTCCTAATGATACTCCAGACCGGGGTAAGATATCCTTAGTGAATTTTCTTTTCTTAAAATTGTGTGTATGTGTTTTCTTTTATGCAACTAGCCTGTGTTTTTTGTTTTGTTTGTTTTATTTATTGTCTGAATAAATAAAATATTTTCCAGGTTTATAAATGTGGACTTTACTTCCCTGTACAATAATCATATTACAGTTCTGATCAAACACCAAAAACAATCTCTATTCTAACTTAGCATACCTATCTTTAATATGTGTTCTATCCTCCCTTTGACATAAATTATCTTTGACAATTGGAAAAAATGAAATATATTCTTACTCCTTTTATATTTTACTGCAGTAAACTCAGAGAATACCTATAGTTGATGTCAGCAGGCTGAGCCTGGCCTCCAAAGTCTCCTCCATTCCCTCATAGGACACATGCTTGGGTTATAATGATGGTTACCCAAGATAAGGTCTTATCGTGTTTTGGAAAGCCCTACCAGGCCTTCACCCATGACAGTGTCAGTGCAACCATATGACATTGGTTCCCTGTCAACAGGACCAGCTAAGTAGACCTGGCAGCAAGGTCTCAGGACAGTCTGTGTTTGATGGAGTTGGAAAAGGCTTATCACAATGAATGTTTTATGCTACTAATCTATTTTTTGGAAAAAAAACTTAAATTTGGACAGATATTTATGCCCAAAGATGCAAAAAAGAAGAAATAACATGAATAAAATGACTAACAAAATTATGATATAATCATAAATGGAGCATCATGCAAGCAATGAAAAATAATTATTACAGCCTGGCTGGCCTGGCTCAGTGATTGTGCATTTACCTATGAACCAGGTGGTCACATTTCAATTCCCAGTCAGGGCACATGCCCAGGTTGCGGGCTCAATCCCCAGTAGGGGGCATGCAGGAGACAGCCATTGAGCGATTCTCTCTCCTCATTAATGTTTCTATCTCTCTCTCCCTCTCCCTTCTCCTCTGAAATTAATAAAGATATATTTTTAAAATACTTATTATTATTACAAAGAATTTTTTCTTTTGATATATTGGGGTGATACTGTTTAACAAAATTATACAGATTTCAGATGCACAATTCTATTACACATCATCTATACACTGTATTGTGTGTTCACCATCCCAAGTTACAAAGAATTTTAAATGGCATGGGAAAACTTATGATATAAAGTAATAGGGAAATACAGCTTTTTAGTTAAAAAGATTCTAACTTTGTAAAACAATATGTAGAAATAAGAGTGTAAAAAGTATGCTAAAATGTTAACCTCTGAGTAATAGGATTCTAGAAGATTTTTCTTGCTTTTCTATATTTTTCTTAATGTTCTACAATGACTCTGTATTAACTTACCATTTTTAGATACTAAAATTTTTAAACTAGAAATATGTCTATCCCAACCTTATTCTGCCACCAGAAACTCTGAAAAGTTTATCTGACTTAAAGAGAACAGTACTGGTTTCATGAGTTTGCTTATGTTAAAGCTATAATAACTCTGTTTCTAGTCCTCTTGAGCTCTATGCGTCAAGTTTAGTTAAAATGATCTCAGTATGTTTTTATTCAATAGGCATGAGCAGTTGACTTGAGCAAAGAGGAAGATGGGAAGTGGGGACCCCATTCTTCTAAACAATAAATAATCATGAGCTGACTTCAGATTTATTCTTATCGGTTTTTAAAGTTGATTTCTCTAGCAAGGTGTGTGTTTGTTTTTTCTAGAACCATCTTCAAGTTTCCTAAGTTTTATTTATTTTTTATTTTTATAGATTTTTTTTTTTATTGTTGACAGTCTTACAGATGTCCCTCACTTCTCCCCTTTAACTCCTTCCACTGAATCCCTTCCTCCCCTGGCAAGGCCTTCAGCACTCTGTTGTCTGTGTCCATCGGCCATACATATAAGTATATAAGTTCTTTGGTTTATCTCTTCTCTTACCGCCTCCCCCCCCTACCCCCCGCCACACACACACACACACACACACACACACACTGAGATGTGTTAGTCTGCTCCATGCCTCCATGCCTTGGGTCTTATTTTGTTGGTCAATTCATTTTGTTCACTAGATTCCACAAATCAATGAGATCATGTGATATTTGTTTTTCTCTAATTGGCTTATTTCACTTAGAATAATCAATAGGATGCCTCCTGCACACCCCTACTGGGGACTGAGCCCACAACCCAGGCATGTGTTCTGACTAGCAATCAAACCTGGTTCTTGGGTTGACACTCAACCACTGAGCCATACCAGCTGGGCTCCAGCTTCCTAAGTTTTAAACCAAACTTGACTTCTGAAATATATCTCTGCTTTCTATATATACCCATGCTCTAGGCTTCAGCAACTTTCTACTTCTCCCTTTTGTAACTTCCTGAGTTAAAATTATTTTTTCTTTTTCCCTAATTATAAGTCTCAAGGACAATGTTAGGTTTAGAGTTTTAATATACCTCTCTTTAAGAGGTTGTAGATGTTTGGGTTATTGAATAGAAGGTCTGTGCTTTGGAAAGAAGTGTGAACTTCTCAAAAAGTATTTTTAAGAGAGTTCTCATTTACCTAAAAGAGATCACATTAAATATTTATATTCTATTGGACAGGGATATTGATTACATCATCCTGGGCAACTTCACTTCATCCTCAAATAACTAGAAAATTCAGTTACCTAGGGCTTTTCATTACTTAACGGTTACTATATTTAGTTTTAAACTCAATCTTCAAATAGTATGCAAATAAGACATTCATGTCTGGTTACTACCAACTAAGTACAAACATTTCTTCTGGCTCTAGCCGGTTTTGATCAGTGGATAGAGCGACAGCCTGTGGACCAAAGGGTCCCAGATTTGATTCCAGAAAACGGCATGTACCTTGATTGCAGGCTCCTCCCTGGCCTGGGCCCTGGTCGGGGCTCATGCAGGAGGCAACCAATCAATGTGTTTCTCTTACATCGATGTTTCTCTCTGTCTTTTTCTTTCTCTTCCACTCTCTCTAAAAAATCAATGGAAAGATATTCTCAAGTGATATCTCAAGTGAGGATATCTTTAAAAAGAAATAATAATAATAAAAACATTTCTTCTGGATATTACAAGTATCACTGTCTTTTCATTCATTCAATAAAGATTTACTTAGTGCCAGGCAATGTCCTAAGCACCTGGGACACAGCAATGGACAACACAGAGTAGGTTTCTGTTCTCCTCCAAGCCTTCATCACCTGCCTCCTGGGATATAATAGCGTTCCCAGACTTCCTGCTTCAGTCCTGCCTCCTGCCCCTTCCATCCAACCAGCACCACCACCAGAGTGACAGCATGAATCCAGTCACATTGCTGCCCGGTTGCTAATACTGCAATTAGCAGCTCCACTTTACCTACCGAATAAAGTCCAAATGACTTATTATTGCATGAAATTTCCATGCCCTTCCTACTCTTCAGCCTTATGTTTCATTTTACCTGAATCCCTCCCCCCTCTCTCAACCTCCTCCTACTTCCTTAAGAAAGGGTTTTGCAACTTCATGCCCCTGTGTCCTTATCGATGTTTCTCCCTCTGACCAAAAGTTATCACTACCCAATATGATTGGAAAACAACCACTCATCCTTAATATGTAACTTGAACTCCACTTTTCCTAAGTTTGTTCTTAGCATCTCAGGAGGGTATTGATCTTGCCCTTGATCCTACCAGGCTTCTAGCATAATACTTCTATCACACTTACTTGTTTACACATATTTGTATTCCATACACTATATGTGTAGGGTCTATTCTTTATATCTCTTTGCCTCAACACAATGCCTTGGGAAGGAAGGAAGGAAAGAAGGAAGGAAGGAAGGAAGGAAGGAAGGAAGAAAGGAAGGAAGGAAGGAAGGAAGGGAGGGAGGGAGGGAGGGAGGAGAAAACTCTAAATATGTTTCTAGTCAGTATAATCTATACAATGTTAATTTTAATCAGTTTACCTCTCTAAGTATAAATACCTTCCTCTGTTAAATCAGGAGGTTTAACAAATCCCAAAGTTCTTTCCAATTATCATGTCCTATGACCTTGGGGTTATAAACTCAATCTACATTGTGACCCATTTTTTTGAAGTTTTAAATTGAGTTTATTAGAGTACACTGGTTAACAAACCATACAGGTTTCAAGTGTACAACTCAACAATGGGTGCATACTGCATTGTGCACCCATTGCTCAAAGTATAGTCTCTTTCCTCCACCATTTATCCTCCCTTTGCCCTCTTCTACTTCCTCTGTCCCCTGGAACAACTCTACTTTGTTTGATTCTCATACAAATAGGCACTATTATTCTAATACACACTTTGCAAATGAGAAAATCAAGAGAATAAAATTTTAAGTAGCTTTGATTACAGTCATTTAAAAAACTGGAAATATTCATTGAACTTTGCATTCTATGTATTTGAAGTATTTATTTGGACAGAAAAATCATCTCAGACTAGAAAAAATAAAACAATAAAAGTTATCATTGTGATCCATTTAAATAAAATGTGATAACCTTAGCAGCCACCAGACGGCAGCAGAAGCTTAAACTTAGAGCTACTGTGATCCTGTGACTTATCAAACAAGCAAAACTACAAAGTGTGTTGAATTAAAAATTACAAATTGCCAATTATAAAAATAGTCATGGGGATGTTAAGTACAGCATGGGGAACATAGGCAATAATATTGTAATAATTACGTATGTTGTCAGATGGGTACTAGACTTCTCCAGGTGATAACTTCATAAATTATATAAAGGTCTAATCACTGTGTTATACACCTGAAACTAATATAATATTGTGTGTCAACTGAAATTGAAAAATAAATTTTTAAACGAATTTTAAAATGGAGTAAGAATATATTTCAGCTTGCCAGTTGTCAGTTTTACATAAAATTTAAAGTATCATTTTAATTTGTATTTAATGTACATCTTATATTTAGTGCCATGAGATGGTCACACTGTGAGAAACAGATAGGAATTGAGATGGGTTGAAGGCCCAGCACATGGGAGTTCCCCATATGCCTTCCAACCTATGCTCTAGGGCAGTGGTCCTCAACCTGTGGGCCGCGACCCCTTTGGTGGTTGAATGACCCTTTCACACGGGTCACCTAAGACCATCCTGCATATCAGATATTTACATTATGATTCATAACAGTAGCAACATTACAGTTATGAAGTAGCAATGAAAATAATTTTATGGTTGGGTCACAACATGAGGAACTGTACTTAAAGGACCAGAAGGTTGAGAACCACTGCTCTAGGGGATGTGTAATTTTAAAAGACTGATGAGTAGAATCACCTGCCCTGTTGAAATTGTATTTCTCATACTAACTTTTTGAAAATAACATAAGCATGGGAATTTATTTTAAAACTAGAGGCCCAATGCATGAAGATTCATGCAAGAATCTTTCTTCCCCTGGCTGCCAGCACCGGCTTCCCTCCAGCACCCGGGACCTGGGCCTTCGCTCTGGCCACTGCCTTCTGCCTTCATTCTGGGCTGGAGCCACCTTCCACCTTCACTCTGGCCCTGCCACCCTCCTGTAGCTCCCTCCATCCCCCACCCCCACCTCAGAACAAGCATTCTGCCCCGGCCCGGCCACTCCACGCTTGCATGCGCACGCTGCCCAGAGGCCTGGAGCAGCCAGGGCGGGGCAGAATGCCTGCATCATCGCCATGGCAACAACGCAAGCATCCCTGCTCAGCCGCCGCCATCTTTGTCATGCCAATTTGCATATTCCTTCCTTATTGGCTGTGGGCGCTGCCATCTTTGTCGCAAAGTGACAGTCAATTTGCATATTCCTTCTTTATTAGATAGGATAACCAAATATTAATCTGTAATAGTGTATGATGGTATTTTTAAATATTTTATTTTCAATTACAGTTGACATACAATATTATATTAGTTTCAGGTGTACATCTCATACTTGCTTTTGTTTCCTGGCTAGGGGTATGAGAATGATGGCTGCCACAATGGTGGTAGTGGTGATGGAAATGGTGATTATAGTAATAAACAGAATTCACCAAAGTCAGATGTGCCCACAATGCAACTTCAACTCCAATTTATTAATTTATTTCTGCCCTGGGGAGAATACTAGTAGAAATTCAGAGCTCACATTTTCACTGTTAAAAGTTTCCCTTTAGCTCTGGCTGGTCTGGATCAGTTGGTTGAGCATCAGCCCGTGAAACAAAAAGTTGCTGATTCTTCCATGTCAGGAGACATGCTCAGGTTGCAGGCTTAATTCCTGGTAGGAAGCATGCAGGAGGCATCTGATCAATGTTTTGCTCTCACCTATCTCTCTCTTTCTCTCTCCCCCTACCTCTTTCTCTCCTTCCCCTCTCTCTCTAAAAATCAATTTAAAAATCTTTTTTAAAAAAGTTTCCCCTTAGTAGAAATTTTTTGTCAATATATTTATTGGGTATCTTTGTCATTGTCATTGTCATTGTCATTGTAATATGCATGAGCTTCTAGTATTGTTCTACTAACTATCTATAAAACTTCATGCTTCCCAACTTTGTAAGATGAAGATGTTAGTGTCTATTTTTTCTTCTATCTCTTTCTCTGCCCTCAAATTCTCCTGTATTTTTCTTTAATCTGTCGGGGCTGATAATATTTATTTGGTAACCACAATGAAGCCCTCTGTCATTTACATTTAAGTCGATATTCTATAAGCTGAAAACATTATTATTATTACTATTATTATTCACATGAAGTCAAATAGCATGCCATGGTATTTTTTTTCTATATAGCTCCAGTGTCTCCCCTTTGTGCCACACCTACTAAAAATAATAATAATAAATAACTTTTTTAAATTGCAAATTCTCAAAATCTGGCCAAATTTTACTTTGTTTCATTTTTAAACTATGTCTTATTTGAACATTTTCCCCTAGAATTTCTGGGTCTCTTATTTTTCCTGCAAGAAGAAACATGTCTCCTTCACCATATTGCTATTGTCTTCCAGCTTCTTACACATTCCCATCTATTGCTTGGAATCCATTCCATTTCTTTCCTTCTTCAACCCACTAGCTTCTTAGTCTCATAGAGAGCCACTGTGACTTAAATGAACCAGGAGTTTATTGTAGTTTATAATTGTTATTGTCCTTCTCCATCCAGCTAGTCCTCTGCACACTCAGATTCTGCTTCATTATTCCTTTGTGTTGGATCCACATTGTCCAGGGTTCCACTTACTCTTCTGTGAGCCTCCCACATTACCCCATCTACATAACTCCACCCACGTACTGGTGTTCTCATAAATATAATCACTTACGTTCTTCATTGACTTCTGCCCATTGTCTAGTAGAGCTTGGAAAGGAGCACCAGCAGCACTGTAGTTTAATATTCCAGCACTGGCTTACTTTTCTTTTGATTTGTGCTCTGTATTTAAAAAAAAAAAATACTTGTCTCTGCCTCCCACTTTGAATTTCCCTTAGGTCTATTGTTTCAAGAACACCAGGGAGACTTCTACCACCAAAATTATTTGTGTGCTGGAAGCTATTTCATGTCTTATTTGGCGACTCACATAAAGAAAGACGTGAGAGGTGTAGGCTGTAGGGATAGCTGAAATTAAGCCACTTCCTTAGGGCGTATTCTAGACAGTTTTCTTCAGAGACCAAGGACACAAGACCTACATTATCAATGAAGAGATGAATAAAGGATAAATATTTTTTAAAAGGCTCTCCCTTTCCCCTTCCCCAAATTACATCATACAACTAGACTCTTTGAAATGCTTTTAGTCTCTGTTCAGAGATCCTTACTAACGCATTTTGCACTGTCTTTCCTGTGACAGGACCTCAAATCCTGATGATCGCCGTCTTCACTCTCACTGGCACTGTGGTTCTGGTCCTGTTGGCCGCTCTCCTGGTGCTGAGGTACCCACACCCTCTCCGGCTGTGCTCCTCATTCTGAGAGGGACGAGGGAGAGAGGGAGGGAGAGAGGGAGGGAGGGAGAGGTTTAATGGCTATTGCTGATGATGTATGTTCACAAAGAGGTCTCTAGACAGGTGTAAGATCAATAATTCTAATTTATCCACACTCTCTGGGAAAACAGTGACAAAACTTTGACATTTTGAATGTTGGGATGCATATTATTACAAATTCTCTGTGCTTTTGTATTTTCTTTCTACATATGTTTTCAAAGGCACAGGTCCACAAGAGGAACTGGCTTACTTAGGAATCTGGTGTATTCTCTGGTGATTTAAAACTTAATGTTTTTGCCTTTCAAGGTTATCAATTTAAAATGTTTTTCTTTCCTCTTTCTTCCCTGCTCTTTTTATGCCATCAGTTCAGATTCTTCATTATAGTGAAGGGCTGTATTAGTGAAGGACCTAAGAAAGTGAAACAAAAGGGAGGAGGGGGGAATAATGTAAAAGGCCATCGGAAATCCTTACAAGTTCGCTCATGGCCAGCACTGGCCAGATTGGGGAGTTGTAATTGGGCTGGCCTCACTCACCACGTATCTACCTTAGAATGCCAGGGTTTGAAATTTCTCCCAGTGTTCAGAAGCTGAACAGCATCAATACTAATAAGAAACTATTGACTGGTTCTATTCCTTCCACAGAAAATACAAAAAGGCGCATGAACGTCGTCAGAAAAAATGGTCCCACATTCCCTGTGAAAAGATCATTCCTCTGGAGACCAATGAGACCAACCATGTGAGCCTGAAGGTAAGGCGCACCTCACCTTTTGAAGAAGCCTGCCTACAGCTGGTGCAGCTTGCCAGGTGGCACCGGTAGGTGGTGGGAAATGAGCCAAGCAGGGATCATTTCTTTCAGAATCTAAGACTTTGATGTTATTTCAATCACCATTTAAAATGCCCCTAAGAGGTCAATTTTAACCAATATTACAACAGATCAAGGTTTTTATGAGAATCAACTTGAAAGATGCAATAGTTCTCAACCTTTCTTCTGTCTTTGAAGTCTGGCGGACTAAGGGCCATGTCTGGCCTGCAGAGGTGTGTGTGTATGTGTGTGTGTGTTAGTCAATATTTATCATCTTTTAAAAGTAATTGCCAAATATAAGAATCTTGGAATGGCTAGAAAAATTCAGATTACCAGCTTCTTCTGACAATTCAGATGATCCAGCAGCTCTCTCGGCTGCACCCAGAGCTGATGGGGCTGCCCGCCTCAGACACCCAGCCCAGTGTCCTCGCTGCATTGCAACTTGGGCTTTTAGACATGAGTTTGCAACTCCAATGTACAACATGTTCCCCTAAGAGCAACTGTCTGTAGCTACAGGCAACGATTCCCACGAGGAGGGGGCAGGGGGAGCTGGAAGCAAGAAAACCCTGGCTGAAGTAGAACACAAGAAGGAGGGAGGGACAGCGCAACTCTAAGAGGAAGGGAGGGAAACCCAGAGTTTAGCATCTTGTTGCAGAGGAAAGGCGAGTTGTGGGAGAGAAACACAAGTCAGCTGTAATCGTTTTCCTGGGAGTCTGCCCAGCAGGCTGTGAGCGAGTAGATCCCGCTCACCTGGCAGAGCCTCTTGGCCTTTGACTGGCAGTGGATGGGACAAGACAGGAAGCTTCTGGAATAATTAGCCTTTTCTTGTGCCAGATCGATGATGACAAGAGACGAGATACAATTCAGAGACTGCGACAGTGCAAATACGACAAAAAGGTGACTATCGTCTCCCCTGCTTCTCTGAACTCCCGGTGAGGGGTGTGTTCTGGGCCTGCTGTCTCAGCACTGACCCCTTCAGATGCTGGCTGCGCAAAGGTGCGGGCGGGTGCAGGGCTGCTCCAGGGGCTGTTCTAGGCGCCTTTCACAGAGATGGGCAGGGCTCTGCTTCAAGGGTTACAGACTCACAGTCCGGGGAAGATTAAAGAATGCATACAATTTTTTAAGATAGGTGGAATGCAGGAAGCGAAGGGAAAAATTAAAGAGAGTCAGAGCAGTCCAGGCAGCCCTAATATTATATTTTGCCTCATTCAGTGAGAATATGACAATTCCACATGGAGTTTCCTTCCTTCCTTCCTTCCTTCCTTCCTTCCTTCCTTCCTTCCTTCCTTCCTTCCTTCTTTCCTTCTTTCCTTCCAACCTTTTTTTTCTTCCTTCTCATTTAGTCATTCTTAAAGAAACATTCAAACCTGAGCCTCTCGTATCCAAGGGACATAAACATCAACAAAATACTGTCGCTAATCTCAAAAGCTTACAGTATAGTGGGAAGATAGACACACAAACAAAATATTATAATACGCGTATAAATAGTGACGCTACAACTTTATCTTCTTAATTCAATTGATTTTTGCAGAGAGTGATTCTAAAGGATCTCAAGCACAATGATGGCAATTTCACAGAGAAGCAGAAGATAGAACTGAACAAGGTATGTGTCCCTTGCTTGAAACCCTTAAGTGAGAAATAATATCATTGCATTTCCCCTGAGCACTGAGGGCCTGGGGCAGCAAGGCATTATTGGGGATGCTGACAGAGAAGCCCTCAGGCGGAGAAATGGGTGACTATACCTATTCGTGTTGAAGATTCTACCAACCGATGTTGGAGAGTGATGTTTGATGGTGTAAAACATGTTGGACATCTAATAGCATGTCTACAAAATGGTCCTGATATTATTTGAGAGTAGTCAAAGGTCTGTATTCGAGTCCCCTTGCTGAGGAAAGAAAGACTGGTTGGTAAGATGCATTGCAATGCGTACTAAGAAATGCACTGACATTCCAAATCATCTTCCCAAAGATCTAAAACACGTTTTATTAGCGTATTAATTTTTACTGTGGTGCTGCTTTCTGGCTGACTTGCTTTGTAAATAAACATGTTATCTTAGTTGCTTCAGATTGACTATTACAACCTAACCAAATTCTACGGAACTGTGAAGCTTGATACCATGATCTTTGGGGTGGTCGAATACTGCGAGCGAGGATCCCTCCGGGTAAGGACAATTTCCGATTTCCTAACTGGTCACCCATATAGAAAAATTATGTGTGT